GGACAAAGTATCCCAATAGCGGTTGCACCAGAGCCAAACACAAAGGTCAAATAACCTCTCTACTTCTACTCAAGATTCCTCTGTTTATGTATCACAGGATCACATTAGCTCTTGGCCACAGCATCTCACTGGGAGCTCATGTGCAGCTGATTATCCACCATGATACCCAAATATTTTTCTGAGTCACTGCCTCTCAAGATAAAGAGTTTCTTCTGTCATCAATTTCCCAGGGATTTATGTGCTTAAATCCCATTAGATTTTATTAACCATCTAAATCCCCTGTGCATCCAGGGGAGTACTGACCCTTCAAGTAGACTGAAAGTCTAGAATACCAGACATAGGAAAGATAGATCACCTTATGCACATCACCTTGTTAAATTAATAGTATATTTCAAGATGAAATCCTAGGAACTTGAAATTGTCTGGATGCAGTAGAGTTGTCAAAATGCTGCCTTAATGTGTTATGGATTCAATTTTTAATAATAATTAATTAATTAATAATTTGTCAAATAACCAGGCTCAATCACAATGTATTAATCAAAGATTATTAATATAAAATCAATACAGCACAATACAGAAAGGAAGATTTTATATGTTACCAAACCAATCTGGTGAAGTGATCCCGCCGCTCGATTCACTCCCAACTAACTCCCAGAAATTTTCTCCCTTATACACTGTGTTCAAGATAAAGAAAATTCCTTTCCCATAACTGATCTACCCAGGAGTTCCTTTTATGATATCTCATATTTAATAATCAATAAACCAAAGACAACTGCAACCAAGTCATTATTACAGAAAACATCTATGACAACAAGCAATTCCTATTGAGCTAAAAACCCCTTTCAATAACTCATTATCTCATCAATCACAGAACACATCTGTAATAATAAGCATCCCTTATTAATCACAAATGGTCGTTCCTTGGTTTCCTGGATTTCTGGTCATATTTTCTACGAGTCAGTGGGGTCAAAGCAAGAGATTATGCACTTTCCATCGTTGATTTCATACATTCTATCATTTGGTCACACTCTAAGGTTCACCCTAAATACAGAGCACTTTTCAATTTATAGGTATGGTGCATCAGCACTTTGGTTCATTCACAAAAGGGTTCTGGGAACTTTCTGTACAAAGCATGATGGGAGTTTAATATCTACTAACAAATGTATTATTCTGCCAACCAAGTCTTAAGGCTTTAAGACAATACGAATTGCTTGAACAAGTGTTGTGTATGATTTAGCACACAGAATAGGTTCTTGGATTTAATGGTATAGGATAGGTACAGTATGAGTGGGAATACACACAAGCTCCGTTACGGGCAGTAGTAGTGAAGCCCTTTGTACACAGAAAGCTCCATATACAGTTGTTGAAGGGCTGGGGTTTTACTTTTTATTTTCTAGTGATGTAAAACCATTTTCTGTTTTTCTCTTTGTAACAAGCATACTCCAAATTCTCAAGAATTAAGCCTTGAGGAAGAAAACTTGAATGAAAGTTTATTTTTTCATTGTTGAATCAGTTGATCCATGCCAACTGCTTTCAGTAACTGTGTATTGTCTTATTACCAAAACAGGTAAATGTACAGGTTATGTGAGAATCAGAAATTTCTATAAAGTTTTATTAGTACATATGTTTCTGTAAATTCCCATAATATGTGTGTGTGTAGAATATTTTCTCTGGATCATGGTAATAATGAAAGCCCTAAACTAGTGCTTGGTGCAAACATTCACTGAGAAAATTCACACACCGTCTGCCAGTACAAACATTTCACTTTCCCCACTATGATTATGGGACAGACACCAAAAAAAAAAGCCATTCCCAAGAAACTGTGGTGCAGTGGAGCTGTATTCACATGAAACCATTCATTAATATCAAATCAAAGTCTACTGTACTTTTTGTTTCCTCTTCTTCATTTCAGCTTGTTGAAAGCAATTGCTGTGATCACAAACCCTCCTTTCATGCTTTCCAGCATTGTTCTAGTTCATAAGCCTTAAAGAGTGACTTGGCATGTAGGTTTTTTCATTAAAAAGAAACGTTGGCATTTTTTAATCACACACTGTCAGGTTCCTGATTTTAATGTACTTTACTGAATTCAATTGTTAGGAGCCATGTTTGAATATACATATGGCCCTGTTTCAGCAAAGCACTTAAGCATATCCTTAAGTACAACATTAAGGATGAAATCCTGCTCAAAGTGAAGTCAATAGCAAAATTCCCATTGATTTCAATAGGGCCAGGATTTCACTGTAATGTGAAGCAGTCATAGGTCTGAAAATGCCATCATTAAGGTAGTCTGTATAACCTTTACTCTGCCCCATTGTAGCTAAGGAAGGGTGTTTCAGCCACACTCACTAAATCGGTCCACACAGGAGCTAGGCTCTGGCGCTGTGTCTCTGCCAAATTTCTGGTTCACATCACCTCCTGCAGACGTGCAAATGTTGTTCAAAAAAAATTTCAGAAAAAAAATAGCAGAAAGTTTGCATATTTTTCACTCTCTATATCTGAAAAAGGTCTGAACCATTTTATTTGATACTTTCTCAGGGGGAATATCACTCACATTGAGAACAAACTTTCCGCGTTTTAGCCAAAACAGTAAAGATTTGAGAAAGTAATAAGAAAAGGAAAAGGAAAATTTAGAATGAAAATGCTTGGGCAAACCTAACTATATGCAAAGATACATACTTCACCATTAAAAACAATTAAGGTGGAATTAAGGTAGAAGGTTGACAAGAAGGAAGGAAAAATCACTTTTGTAGTGCTAATGAGGCCAATGTAATCAAGGTGGCCCATTTCAAACAGTTGACAAGAAGGTGTGAGTATCAGCAGGGGGAAATTAGTTTTTGTAGTGACCCATCCACTCCCAGTCTTTATTCAGGCCTAATTTGATGGTGTCCAGTTTGCAAATTCCAGTTCTGCAGTTTCTCGTTGGAGTCTGTTTTTGAAGTTTTTTGTTGAAGAATTGCCGCTTTTAAGTCTGTTATTGAGTGTCCAGGGAGATCGAAGTGTTCTCCTACTGGTTTTTGAATGTTATAATTCTTGATGTCTGATTTGTGTCCATTTATTCTTTTGCATAGCGACTGTCTAGTTTGGCCAATGTACATGGCAGAGGGGCATTGTCTTGTCAACTGTTGAGAATAGCCCACTTCCACCTTAATTGAATTGGCTCGGTAGCACTGAGCCCCCACTTGGTAAGGCACCTCCCATCTTTTCATATGCTGTGTATTTATACCTCCTTACTGTATTTTCCGCTCCATGCATCTGATGAAGTGGGTTTTAGCCCACGAAAGCTTATGCCCAAATAAATTTGTTAGTCCCCAAGGTGCCACAAGGGCTCCTCATTGTTTTTACTGATACAGACTAATATGGCTAGCACTCTGAAACTTCACCATTATTCCAATATATATGTGTGGGCGAGGGGGTATAAAATGATTAAATACTCTCTGATACCTCAAGTTTACAAAGCATGACGCAATGACTCATTACATGATAGGGTATGTTTTACTGGAAGTTTGCTACAAGTTGTGAATGTGCTGTGAGGAATCAGCATGTTTAATCATCTGATGAGTGTATTTATGACCAGACACATAACCCAAAATGTCTGAAAATGTATTATTATGATTATCACTAATATTAGTATGTAGATCCCATTTTCACATTTCATTTTTTAAGTTACTGAATGTATGCCATAGAAGAAATATATTTAAGATTAGTGAAAATATGTAAGCAGTACATTCCTTTTTCTTGCTCCCTCATTGTACACTAGAACCATCCCAAAGAGTCCCTTTTCCTGTCGCTCAACGTGCTGAGTCAAATTCTACTTTCAGTTACACCACTGCTTGGCACCTTCTGCAGTTGTGTGTGCTTGGGTAAAGTCAGTACTGCCAACCCCAACAGTTTACAAGTCACGAGTCAGGCCCCTCCCCCCCCAAATACAAGATTGACAAAAAATAATATAATATTTGTGTTAAAAACCACTTGGGATTCTTTATATTGGGCTTATGGTTTCTGAGCCTTTAAGCCTCACATTGTCCAGATTTTCTTTGCAACCATGAGAGCTAGAACCTTGCCCAATTTCCACCCCCAAAAAATTACGTTTCTTGCAATATCACATTATTCCAGGTGCTGGGACTTTAAGAAAAAGACCAAATATTGTGAGAGTTGTGATAAAATCACAAGAGTGGGCAACAATGAAAGTCACTGTAAAATACTACCATCTCCAGTGAGTTGAGTATTCTTATTTGGTAGCATTTTACATCCATTTTACTCACTTTTCACTGTGTATGTGTGTGTGTGGTACTAGAGACTCAGCTGTAATTTTGTATGTCTACACTTCAATCAGGCCATGTGATTGCAGCCCATGTAGACATACCCAAGCTAGCTGTGATAGAACCAGCTCATTAAAAATCAGCGTAGCCATGGTGGTGAAGGCGGTTGCATGGGATAGATGCCCCAGTATGTGCCCAGGGTCCTGGGAAGGAGTGTACTAAGGAGGCTCTCCCACATTGCTGTGGCTATGCTGCCATTTTTAATGAGTTAGCTTGATAAAAGCTAGCTTGGGTATGCCTACATGTGCTACAGTTGCTCCTCCGGATTGCAGTGTAGACATACCCAATGCCGTTGGAGTTACCCCAGGATAAGCCACTGTAACTGAGGGTATATCTACACTGAATAAGAGGCTGTAATTGCAGCATGTCAGCATATCCAAGCTAGCTTTAATCTAGATAGCTTGTGAAGCCATGGCAAGACAGGCTTCAGCATGGGCTGCACAAGCCTTCCCAGGACCCTGGGATTGGATTGAAGTCTGTGCTGCCACAGCTTTACTCATATTGGTACCCATGCTAGCTAGATCAAAGCTCACTCAGGTATGTCTCCATATGTTGCAACTAGGGTGACCAGATGTCCCGATTTTATAGGGACAGTCCCGATTTTTGGGTCTTTTTCTTATATAGGCTCTTATTACCCCCACTCCCTGTCCCGATTTTTCACACTTGCTGTCTGGTCACCCTAGTTGCAACTGCACCTCGGACTGCAGTGTAGACTGTCCCTGTATGTATGCACACAAGTATTTCATATAAAAAAGTATGCTAAGACAACACTAATGTTGTGCAATTAAATAAGACTTCATGGTTACAAGATGCTAAACAAGTGACTCTAAGGTGGTAGGGGAAAATGTATAATGTATTGTGGGCCAGCTGGTGTAAATTCATTGACTTCAATAGAGCTAGGTAGATTGACATCAGCTGAGATCTGGGCCTGCATCATTTTAAGTATAGAGGGCTTGATTCGCCAATGCATTGCCAGTTTTATTCTGACATAACTCCACCAACCTCATTGGAGTTACTCCTAACTTACAAACATGGATATGAGAGGAAAACCAGGCCTAAAGACAATAGACAGTATCATAATGCACACACACAATAGTGGAGGGTTATGGTTGTACATTCAACCTTCAGTGTTGCATTTCCTGACTTCTGAGTTCTTTTTCTGACTTACCTTTTTTTTTCTTTAAAGAAACGACAGTCGAAACTCCCAACAAATAGAGATGGAATCTGCCATACTTCAAACTTTTGCTGGTGGGCAAATGCATGGCCAGATCCCCCACTAGTATAAATCAGCATCACTCCATGGAAATCAATGGAGCTACAGCATTTAACACCAGCTGAGTACCTGGTAGAGTATGTAGGTTTTATAATACAGAAGTATTTAGTTAAACACCACCAGAAACCTGCCATATTGCTCCTGAGTACCAAGGAGAGAATATGGCTCAATCTTTATTTACCAGTTTGTAGTTTAAAATATCAGATCTTAGAACTGGGCATTTTGAGCCTGATCTAGTGCCCACTGTAGCCAATGGAAGGATTTCCATTGACTATAACGGGCATGGAAACAAGCCCTAACCTGGCACTTGGTTAATCACCATTAAATTACGTAGCTCTAGCTAAATTTATGCTACTACTAGTCCAATTAAGCAGCAGTTATTGCCATTCACTATCATTACCCTAGATTAATTTCCTGGGTGAGGGCCTAGTAAAGTTATCCTGTTATACCATGTCCCAATGAAATAGAAGATGCTGTACTATCATATTACATTTCTGTGGTCTTCCTGGAGCTATGTGGATACAGTTCCTGATGTTATGCCATCTCAGCACTTCTCCAGTGGATCCACCAGCTTCTGCAGAATTTACTCTTTCATTGTTTAAGAGATGTCTAGCCCTCTGCCAAAGAGCTTCTCTTGTTTTCTGCATTCCCAACAAGCACCATAACAGCTAAAATTGTCTCTCCTTGGTTTGTGTTCTAAATCATCACATGTCACGCTTCATTCTGTCTGTTTGCAGAATATTAAACTATAGTTCTATGTGCCAGATGCCAAGTCTGGGGCAGCAGGAAAGGCAGGTCTTTAACATGCAAGTGATTTGTGACATGTCTGGAGCAGTGCAAAGGAGTGTCCAGGATAATTCCCCACTATGTAGATTCTAAAATCTAAAGCCACAGCATAGGGGATACACAGGGCTCCTAGCTGTTACTAGAGCCCAACATCCACACGCTGCCAACAAAGCTCTGGGGCTTGATTCTTCATCACCCTAGATCTTGTGTGGTGGTTTACACTGTGCAAACTGAGTGCCAGAGCAGAGTGGTGTCCTCCTACTCCTGCTTTGCATTCCCTCTGCAGAAGGTAGTTGGCAATCGGGTTTGTAGTGTTCTTAACATACTGAAAACATCAGACAAACTGCCAGGGAACTCAGTTTTATCTAACACCTAGATCTGAACCACTGGCACCAGTGAGAGTCACGGTTTCTAACATGAAGTTTACACCTCCAAGCCTTTGCCATGGATGGAGCCTGAAAGCCCTACTAATGCAGTGGGTGACATTCTTCTCCTGGTCAATCGCCTTCTCTGGATACAGAAAATACTATTGCTAAATAGTCCTCCCCAGCAACCTACAGTCCCTTCCCTTCCTTTTCTGCTGATATCCTGAAATTCTCCTATTCCCTGCCACCCCTAACCAGAGTTGTGTGGAAGGCAGTAGACCTAGGATATATTCCTCCTTGTAGTGGTGATGATGATGTATGTGGGCGCGTAAGAAGCCAAGGACCACAGCAATCTTTTGGAGCAGGGAGGACTCCCTAATTCCCCGCAGTGAGTAAATTGCTCAAAAGGAGATGGGGCCAGG